TAACATTTTGAACAATATGTCTATTACCACTTAACTACATGGAATTTTTTTCTTATTTTTGCCAGAACAGGTATGGGTTGGCCCCTCATCCGGTGCCCGCTTGACGTTGAGTTTCGGACCACCTGTATAGCACCAATACACCAACTTTTGTCAAATATCAATCGTTAGATAAATACATATACAATTTTTAAAAAACGTGTTGATTTGAATATTTTATCTCAACTTAAGAAACCAGATTATACAAAAAATAATTGGTGTGTGATCAGTGATCAGATAAAGTACCACTTCCGATTACGCTATTTGATTGAAATTTCATATGTAAATTCTTCTTTTTCTTGACGAAAGCCTAGGGCTTGCTAGGTGTTACTTATTTGTCGTTGCATCTTGAGATGAGGATGTCCAACTCTCCCTCCACCGCTTAGCCGGGTGTCCTGGATGTGTTGATACATGTCTTGAAAATACATGCCAATATCGCTGTTTCTACGGTGATTCATCAGCCGGGTAATTCGCTGATTATTGTTCTCATGATTTTCATTTCGGTACGCTCGTTTTGTTTCTATTTCCGTCTCCTCTCTTGTTTTCTCCGCATATGTCATCAAGGCTTCACGCATTATATTCTTGGTTTTATTTCAGTTGACATACCAGATTGTGTGCCTTAGCGCACCAGCGATTCTGGTTGCCTTCTTGAATGTTGTTTTCCAATATTGCTTACATTCCCGTAAGCCGAAATAGTTATTCCTAGATAATTATACATATTTTAATACTTGTTCGACGATCTTGTTGTTAACTACTATTTTGTATATTGCAAAATACTACTATTTTGTATTTTGTACCTTGTTGTCTTGACGTGGTTCTCTGCAATATTAAAAGCCTCTGTTAACCACTGTAGTTCATACTCAGTATCAGCCACTCGGAAGGCATCGTCTGCATAGCACACTATCTTGTGTGTGCTTGGATTCTTCTAGAGGCTCAACATCAACAAAGCCCCGTCATCGAAAGTTCTGATATCCGTAATGAAGCTTCAAATGCTCAAAGTGCGTTTGATGAGCATGACGATGAACACATGACTATTCGAAGTGCCGAGATTCTTGATGAACCTGCGAATGTTGAAGGTCTTTCTTCTGAGGTACATGCACAACCCTTAGATGTTCTGAATTTCGTATCAGAACGTGAGCAATCATTGGATTCCCCATTCTTGTGCTGTGTTTGTACTGAAAAGACAACGGCTGTTCATTCATGTAGAACATGCAATAGACCCATTCATGCTATTTGTGCTGCTCCGGAGAAAGATATGGCAGAAGGCTATGGTTCTAAAGTTGTTTGCCCATTATGCTTAAAAAACGCTTTAGCTGTACAGAACCGCATCAGTTTGCAAAAAAACACTGTGATACTAAAAAGTGTTCATGTCTTAAAAGTAAGATTTTATGCACTTCAAAATGTCACAATAGTTCCTCATGTAAGAATAAATAAATATATTTTTTACTTACTGAATTCTGAGAGGCCAGTAGATCTACGTCTTGTTTTTACAGAATTATTTTGTTCCCTAAGTTTTTAATACTTATTACTTGATTGCTTATAAGCAAATGAGATTATGTTAGTTAACCCAGAAAAATTTTAAGTTTAGTGTAATTTAATTGTGATTTTACTATAGTTACAGAAAGGTACTAGGTGCCTTTTTCTGTACAATAATTTATAGATTATCAAAAAGTTTATTATGTGTAAAAATTGATAAATACAGACCAAAATCTATTTATTTTACACATTGCCCGTCGACCAACAGGTACTCTACGTAATCCCTAAGAATTGTATACATTACCTAGGTAAAGTATCTAAGGGACAATAATCTTCATAATATTTCATACATTGCCTAGACACCCCAGGTATTTTATACATTATCTAGGCATTGTATAGAGTACCTGAATTATACAGATTGACGGTAACATATATATATCTCATCTCGAGATATCTTTATCTCTATTTTATCTATTTTTCTTTTTTTGCATCAACTCCTTTACTTCAGGTGTAAACCACATCGTCATTCTTTCGATTGTTTCATTTTTTAAGAGTCCTCAGTGCCTCTCCCACTACGTCAGTCATATATATGAGTTTTTAATTTTTTCCACATGGCGTCAGCGGTTTCTTTTGTCTGACAAATTTAGCATAAAACTTAACACAGATCTACGATTTTAATACAACTTATAAAACATTACATAACATACAACTTACAATTAGAATAAAGGTCGATTGCGATAAAACATCATATTTTAACTACTCCAGAATATACCGTGCGCTATGTTGGTTTATACGAAATAGTCTACTACTACAATTACTACATAACATTAAAAATCATTGGTTTTAGCATAATAATAAATTTCAGTTAGTTATATACCTGAATTGTATTCGCACACAGTGATTTTGGTACATTGACGTATCAGGTGCAACATCATCATATATTTAAAGTCGGCAATGCCCTCTCTGTGACTTTCCTAAAATAGGATACTTAGGTATTTATTTATCACTTTTAATTATTCACCGTTTCTATTCGTATATTACATTCTACCTTGACATTTTGATGATCCTATGCGATTTGAGAGCCCTTGAATCCATTTTATAACGTAAACAAGTTTAAATCGGAAGGAACACCTTTTTCCTATTAATTTGAACATTAGAGGTGAGTATTATTCATTTATACTACATAAATTACCGAAAATGTTCGAGTATAAAATTTGAATCAAATCGCTTAACCGGAAGTGATACTTGATCTCAACACCTTCTTATACAGGGTAATTCAAATTCGACCCCATTGTAGAGATGTATATTAAGGGTGATTTAAGTATGACGCCGATAGATATTAACGGACGAAAACCCGGATTAAGATAGTTGAAGGAGCGCTCCTTCTGACTGTGATAACAGTTTTTTAGAATTCGGTTTTATAACAATTGCACAAGGCCTTGAAGTTTGGTAATTTTGAGCTATTTTAAGTACAGAGCGGTGTTCTTCATTTTTTATTGATCTTAATATTAACTTATCGGCAGACGAAAAGGGTTTTTGATAGAGAAAGATTCAAGCTTTCAAGTGGTGCATTTAGTTTTTCGCTATCTCTAATAATAAGGAAGATATCAGCTAAGAAAGTAAATAGGAAATTACGGGTTAAAGTTTGTTGCTATCGTCGCACGAGTTATTTCGTCATATTATGCTTTATAATTTTGAGAAAAAGACGAAAAGACACTTTTAGCTCTCCTGAAACAAGACGCCTCCAAGAAAACCGCTTTTGAAACATATACAAATTGACAAAATTAAACAAAATAAAACCACGTTATCATATTTGATGATTTAAGCATTGAAAAGAAGCGAGCAAAGATATGCCTTGATTGTTGTTCAAAAATAAAGAATGTGTGTTTGATGAAACGGAGGTGAAATCATTAGTTTAGAGATCACTTCCAATGTCGATATCGTTTGAAGGCTTTTTACATTTCTCAATGATATGTTTCATATTGCTACCGAAAGATTGCAGTTGAGGTTGCTTGCAATCAACACTATACAATGTCGAAGTGGTTAAAGATAAATCAGAACTGAGAGATAACTACTATATTAATGAATATTGCTAAACGAACTCTTTTTCGTCAATTAATATTTAGAGAGTATACAAATTCTCCCATTGATGTCAAACGTAAATGGTATTAGTACGTAAAGTTTTTATGTACTAATAGTTTAGATCACGTATATTTCAATTTCCGCACTATAATATGTAACCTGTGGTTGTCCAAAAATGTAGATATTTTAGCATTTCGCAAACCTGCTTTCACGCGACGTCCGCTCCCAAGGATACATTAACAAATTTCGGTCAATATTTGCTTTGTGTAATTAATAAGGCATTACAAAATGTCGTTTTTTTTTGCAACAGCAAAGAATTATGTTCTATTTAGAGACGAGTTACCTCGTAGATTTTACTCTGAACGAGCTTAAAATTTTCCGTAGTTACGCAATATAAATTGGCACAAATAAAAACAACAACCGATTGGAGTTGAGACATTCCCGAATAGAGATTGATTCATTTTGATAGTTTTAATGTTGTGGCTCCTGAAAACCATTAGGGTTTATTTAAACTGCTGCTATATAATATCGAAACTTTCTAATTGGATGACTTCATTTCCTGTGGTTCAAATAATAGCAAAAAGTATTTTGCAAACCTTATAAGAAAAATTAATTATTAGGTAAAATATCTAAAAGTTCAAATATTAATAAAAATCGCGTAATATGCGAAACGAAAGAGCCCATCCGGTTAATGATACGAATTTATTGTAATTTTTAACGATTCATCAAATAAGGACAAATACTCGGAAACATACTAGCGTAAGATATTCTTTGTATATACATTATAGCTCTACGAACTGAGTTCAAAAAACTTCCCCAGTTACCATTAACCAATTGTTATTGAATCACGATTTAAATCAGAGCACAAAAGACGAATTGCGTTATAATTTATAATAACATACTTTTCAGGATGCAATCTTAGATTAGATTGGTTAGTCCTCTTATAATTAATTGTTGAAACGGCGTGTGAACGATTGACTTGAATTAAAATGGTTAGCGGTAGTAAATATAATGAGTATTAACCATTGTGAGCAATCAAGCATTTCAGCTATCGCAAAAACTTATGTAAACTTTATAATTCTTTTCTGATCATCATCCGTTTAAATTTCAAAATTGAATATTTCCACTTTTTATAAGTAATTTTTTAGAAGAAATTTATTTTTTAAATAAGAACTTTCATTAATAACACGAAAAGGAAAATTCCTTTTCTTTAAAAGAGAACTAACTCTGTAAGTACAGAGAGAGGAATATGTCGCATTTTGTAGGTCAAACATCAAACAATGGGCGCCCCGATATCGGTGACACACATTCGAACAACCAAACCGAACCATACAATAATCACAATAAAAATTAACAATTAAAATCAACAACCAAAATAAAAAGTGATCAATCACCAACGTGCTTACTTTCTCAAAATCTTCCAAAAACAACCAAATGTGCTCCCGTTGGGTACCTCCCCCGTATACGTAACCGTCATTATCACAGCGAAACACCACCACTAACTGCACTTCTTTTCATATACCACTTTTTCCTCTTCTTCTAAACTTTCTTCTTTTCGTTCTAATTGTAAATACAGTGAAGAACGAGGAAGGTTCCAAATAATAGGAAGAACTCGCGCCCGAAGCCAGCGAACGGCAACGCGTCCTTCGTGGTATTCCACGGTGGAATTCCTCTGCGGTTGCTGCGATACACCACCAACTGCTACTACTGTCGGTCCGAACGAACTGGCCACAGGAGTCTCAACACTCAACAGCAACCAACATTGAAACGATGGATGGTAGGGACGCAGGTGTGGTAGTACCTCTGGAGGGGCTGGCGGCGTCACTGTGTGCATGCCACGGAACGTGTACTCAAATGAAACTCGACAAAAAACAATGGCACATGTATTCGAATTGACTTTTGAAATCAGCGGTTACCTACACACAGCATTAAACAAGGATAGGTTGATTTCACTTGATGATGGTTGCGAGTAGGTAAGTTGTTTGGTAGACAAAGTTGGTTGATTTTTTTTGCAATACCTAAAATAAAAGAAATCTATTGAATATTTTTAATTGGTGAAATGCATTAATGCATATTAGGGATTAACAGATTATGGATCATACATCCCGGTTAAGTAATCTCCTCGTTCTAAGAATTTTGAACAATACCTATTCATCACTACTCATCTATTGGATACTCATCATATGTAGCAATATAAGATAGTTTTTAGATGAGTAAAAGACAAACATTGTTGCTTCTTAAATAAGCAGTGCTTCATTGTTATCCACAAAAATTTGAAGATTCTCCACGTTTTATAATTTAATAATTTGTACTGTATCAATGAAGGAATTAAAGAACGGAAAACGTTTTAATCGTATCACCAATAACTTACAACCCATCGCCTTAGTCTTGACAATTTTTATGTCTTCATCGAATACATCCACAAGCAGTTATGTCACCTTGTATGGTCACGTTCACTGAAGGCGGCTTCACATGTAGCCAGTAAATTAGGTGCGAACTTAAGTAAACTTCTGCTGTGCCATTGTAAAGACATGCATTTTAGTATATTTCGCCTAATAGAAATCTAAGTTACTATTTATTTTTTCTTCATGAACAGCCACAATTTATTTTACTAAAGCAGTTTCTCGACTTAACTAGCAAATACATGTGGAACCGCCTTTACAACTGTACACCTTATTTATTACATAAACTCTACAATGATCTACACACTTAATAAAGAATGAGTTTCCACAAATATTAACATTTTAAAGTTATCTGTTTTGGGATTAGTACCATTTTCTATTGTATGCAAACACAAGCTTTAAAGCCCTTCAAATTAAACAGTTCAGTGTTATCAAATTGTAAAATTTTTAACCATTTTCGATAATAAGCTATCTATGAAACCATGGTTGTTTGAATTGTTTCTGCGGCATCCATAATTCTAGCTACTAGTTGTTCTCTATTTTCAATATTTTTTTCATAAACTAAACTTTTCAGCCTTCTCCATAAAAAGTAATATAAGTGATTACAGTCTGGCGACCTTGCTGGCCAAGGAACCGTTGAACCTCTTCTAATCCACCGGTTTGTATAATTTTGATTAAGAAATTCTGTTACTTGTCGACCAAAATGTGGAGGTTCGCCATAGCACAGTGTTAGGAAGTTATGAATATCTGGCCAAAAATCTAATTACAACTAAATGAAGTTGAAAATGTTTAATACCATTATAATATCTCCTTAATGGTTAGCTGGATTTATTTCATCTATAAACAGTGTTTATAACAAAATTTTGTATTTTGAAACAAATATTTGATAATAAAAGCGAAACAAAGGTTTTGTTGTTTGTTGGGTTGGATGTTTAAGCTAATGTAACTCTGAAAACATGGTACATTTATTTCATGTAGCTTGCAAAAGGTACATGACAACACAATAAGTATATATACTTATATAATATATACAGGGTGTCTCTCGTAAATGGTTCGTTAAAACTTTTTAATGCTCCACTATTTGTACAGTTTTGAAATTTTGGGAGCATAGGTTGTTCATTCGGAACTTTCGATCTAAAATATTTTCAAGATGGCGGTCAGATTCCGGTCTACCGGAAGTAGACCATAACTTTGTTATTTTAAATGAATGCTACAGTTTTTATTACACCTTTTAATTGTACATAAAAAATATGTTGACTTTCATAAAAGTTATTAAATAACTTGTAACCCCTAAAGAAGTTCTAACGAACCAGTTACGTGAGACACATTCGATGTCCGAATAGGCTAACTCGGAAACTATAAGAGTTAGAGAAAAAGTAGCTCACACGTCATGATCTCGTTTTTCGAGAAACTGCTAATGCCGAAAACCTCAAAGCGCTATCGTCTTTTGTTTTCCCCTAGAGACTTAACTAGAGACTAGAGACTTCCCCTAGAGACTGTAAATTTAATTTCTTTGACGACACTAAAAAAAGCTTATTTTTAGCTTTATTTTAAAACGATAAGAAATGGACCTAAAATAACCAATTTAATAAGCGAATAATCAGTGGTTGTTTCCATTAAAAAAACGAAAATTGCCATAATATCTAAAAATGTAAAACCGAAAAAACTATGTCATCAAATTCTCTGTAAAAGAGTGTCCATATAATGTTTTAGTTATAATACTCCACCATAATAATAACCACCAAGATAATTGCACTTGCTGGTTTTATGTTATATTCAATTTTGGCTTCTAGGGGAAAAACAAAAGACGATAGCGCTTTGAGGTTTTCGACATTGGAATTTATTTAAAAAAAGAAAACGAGACATGTCAGCTACTTTTTTTCTAACTCTTATAGTTTACGAGATAGTCTATTCGGACATCGAATTTGAACCATCCTGTACATAAAGTATGAAATCAATTCGACAAAAATTTGAGGGATATTCTTCCAGAAACAATTCTTGGATATCTATGTTATACTTTTTATCGCGCATTTTTTGAGATAAAACTGATATGTACTACTTACTATTTTATTTGCAATAATAGAGTAAACTACGCTATTCTCTGCTTCTGTTTATTTGTGACAAATGTTTAATAATATAATGATAACCATAAATTATGTTTTAACCCATAAGCAAATTTAGTATTTTAACATACTGTTTTAAATTTTTTTTATACCTATATTTATTTTTCTTCGTCCTCACTGTGTTCTACAATTTCAATATTAGTTGCAATTGACGATAAAAAATCATTTCTTTCTTCATCATTTTCAAAGCGAGAAGGCTTATAAATTCTTCAGAAAAATCTGTATTATTCCTTGGTTTCTTGCTATGAAATGATGTTATAATTGGGTCTGAAGATATTAATAGATATTGTGTTGTAAAATTTTTAAATGCAGCAGTTTTCATTTCTTGATAATAATTTTTGTGAAATAGGCGTCATTGATTTTCTTTTTTAATACTGTGTTGGATAGCTCTTTTTTAACGAAAAAATTACTTCGGACTTGTTTGGGAAGAAGGTTACAACATGAAATCCGAATCGTGACTATTTTTTTAAAGACGAACGTTTAAGCCCGAAAGCTTCTAGTTCTAGAACTAATAATAGAGTTAGTACTAATATTAATTCATAAAAAATAGTTATTCTGAAAAATTGTAAACGATTGATAGTTTCAAAACTAACTTTCAGTATTCACTGTCTAATATCCGTGGACACCACCCTGTAGATTAGTCATTTTATTGAAAATGCGCAATTTATTTTTTTGGAAACGGAAAGTATAGGCTTGTTGGGACTTTTTTTCTAGCTTAAATTAAAGTTTAACAATGCAAATAAAATCTGTTTATGAACAGTGTTGAGAAAAAGATAAATAAATCCAGTATTCAAGAAGCTATTACAGTGTTACATAAACAACACATACAGTATAAAATTATAGTGAAATTTCATAAGGGTACAACTTTTAATATGTTTACAATCGCGTCTCAATATTAATCAAATGTTTTTGGAAATTGATATGCAAAATAAGTGTTTTAATTTATAAAATAAATCAAACAACCATGTGTTTTTCTCAATAAAAAGGACACATTTGACAACCATTTATTTAACCTCTAATTTTTTTGAAATATAATATCAGTATAATATTTCAACGTAACATTTTTTTGTATGACGTTTCGGAAATTTATTCCATTTTCAAATACAATTCTTACAATTATTAACTTTGATCCAAAACTTTAATCGTCAATAGTAATATTTTTATACATCACAATTTAAAACTTAATGGAAACTAATTATAACTCGGTAAACCGATATACGTCAAAAACCTACGCCTCAACGGTTACATGTACGTACGTTGTACGTAGGTTTTTGACGTATATCGGTTTACCGAGTTATAATTAGTTTTTATTAAGTTTTAAATTGTGATGTATAAAAATCAGGGTTAGGCGTTTTTGCACTACCACTAAATTGCACTACCACTGTTTATTCAGTGGCAGTTAAAATGCAAAACCATTACCACTGAAAATTTAGTAATAGTGAAAAAGAAATTGCATTATCACTAAACCTTTAGTGATAGTGAAAAAAATGCACTATCACTAAACTTTTAGTGAAACATGATCTTTAACTAAATACCATTGAATTTATATTTTGTTCGATATTAGTTATCAACTAGTTTGTTGATAAAAATGCTTCTTGATGTATGGGCGGTGTAACTAAACGATGACATTAAGCCAATCTAGCGAAATAAATCACGACTTCTTGGTGTCAACAGCAGACTCATTTATTTGGCACTCTCGAAATTGCAATGCAGCTCAATAGTAATAAGTATAGATAGGCAAGCGGCAGCGTTGATCCGGATTTACTCGTTAATTCGGAATTATCTCTTGAGTTAGCTGCAGTTCATCCGGATTAAGTTAACAACTATCTAAAAACAACATTAAAAAATATAGAAGTTATACTTGAATGAATAAAAAAAATTGAATTAAAATTCTACTGGCAGTGGGACTCGAACCGACAACTTCGCGGCACAATTTTGATCAGATCAACAATCCGGATCAATGTTGCCGTCTGTCTATGCTTTTAGTTACTATGGATATATTTAAGTGAGTAAATAGGCGAACAAGTACTATTTTTGGTTCAGTGCCGCTCGTGTTTTTTAGTAAAATATTGCAGTGTTCAAAGTGCTTCAATTTTGTAGTGGACAAAAATTACATTTTATAAAATGAGTGATAATGAAATAGATTTTGAAAGTGACGATTCATTGGCTGATCCCACTTTCGAGCCCAAACCTGGTTCGAGTAAACAAATTCGAATTA